TTCGTCAATTCAATCAGTTAAGCGTTATACGTAATACGCGTTTGGACGATCATGTCTCTGTCGATTCATGACTAACTAGGGATAGATTTTTCCGCAGTAGGTTGCCGTTTCTTTCGGAGGTAAACAATGCTATAGAACTCAGACTGTCCTGGTATCCAAGCAGTAACTGGAAGCAGAGATACATTTAGATGTAAAGAAGTGATGCCCCCCCCGCAAATCCCCCATTTTGACGTGTAAGAAAATGGAAGAGATGAAAATGACTTTTAATGACCAAAAGAAGAGTGTTAATTTAAACAATTTGAGTAAAGCCAAGGATGATGACGAGTGTTTAAAATGACTGAAAGGTTGTCTAAAATCTACAATCTAGAATCTACTACAATTATGACAGCATGTGTATGAAAGGCCTATGACAGTGTCAGAAATATTATATACTTTGGCTGGAGGCCCCATAGATTTTGAGGCCCTACAAGTAAATCTGGCATTCGCTGGGAGGAGAAAAGGTGGATTCATACCTTACCCAAGGGTATTTTCGGGTAAGAGAATATAACGAAACTTACTGGAATTCGAATCCGGCTCTCTGATTTCTAATTACTAGTCCTTATCTATTACACACATAAACACTGAAAAAATCAAACAGATAATAATAATCATCATCGTTATTTCGTCGAAGTTCCCGCTTATTTGGATCACGTTAAGCATCACGTCACTGTTATTATATGACAGGGTTCATGGGTTCTGAGGTGAGATGCAGAAGCAATTCTTACATCGAGTTAGCTAAGACAGTGACGCAGTTCCGAAAATTAACCATTTTTTGTTGTTGCACCAACTGTGATTTAGAAAGGTTTCTCACGCCTATTACATTCGTCATTCGGTTCTTATTCTATGAACCGTGTCCATTCAGCACGTTGGCTATCATGGCTCTCCATAATTTACTGTTTTTGAAGCTCTAACTAAATTTTGTCTTTTCGCCATCTCTCCCAAACCCTTTTCCGACATCCATTCAATCATCCTCGCTCGTGCGTCGCTTTCCTCTGATCCTCTTACCGTTAATCTGTCCTGTGAGTATCAACATTTCCAAGCACTCTTTCCTCATTATGTGCCCTAGAAATCTTAACTGTCTCTGATGCTAAGCATAATCTTAAATATGCTGTGTTTGTTCAGAATGTTGGTGATCATGGCTCTCCACATTTTCCTGTCCCTTGTAGTGCGACATAAGTAGTAGAGGCATAGCTTACCATAGTAATTAGTCGGGAAGGTCTGAAAGGCGGCTGAGACTTCACTTTTGCGGAACTCTTGTTTATCACCTCTTGTTTATAAGCGTTGCTTCCTGGTAAGAGTTTTCTTGATAGATCATCCATACCGCTTATTTAATCTACTCACATAGGGTTCAGTTCGGAATTCTCTGTAGGTTACCCATATCGATATACACCTGTTTTGTGGTGATGTTGGTTGAATTAATAGGACTTGGGGTCCTTTTTAAAGGGCATATATTTAATATATTCCCAGTCTTTCGTTGAATGTTGTGAAGCTTATCAAATAATCAGCGAGTATTCAAACGTAAAAATTTGAACCTACTTTCCAAGGTAATTATATGGCTATTAATAAGTAATGTTCATTGTTATATATCGTATTTTATATGGGGTACTTTATATGTTGCATTGGCAAAGAAAACAAATTCAAAACTGAAATTAATGATCTGAGAATGTTCCTTGCTAATATAAAGCAGAAAAATGGTAGCACCGATGTGGAATCCTTTGAGAACGTCTGTATTTGTCTCCCGGGCTTCAGAAGACTGATTATTAACGACGCATTTCATGGAGCTACCAGACAGGAAGGACTTGATAATTTCAACAACTCTTCTAGAAATACCATAGCTGGATAGTTTGTGTAGCAATTTCCTATGCCACGTTCCGTGAAAAACCCTAAAGATATCTAACTCGATCCCTCTTGTAATTACATATTTTATCAAATTTTTAATTTTGTGTGTAATGACAATTATGACATAAGCTATAGACGTAGAGGAGCGAAATTCATACTGTTTGTCATTCAGATCTTTTTTATGTCGCGGTTGAGAAAAGTTATGAAAAATGATCCTATGTGAATTTATGAAATTTTAGGTGTTTTGATAACGAGGAAGCGACGAAAAGCACACGATGTCGAATCATAAATAAAATGACAAAACATTTGAGACAAATTATTAGGTCCCCTTCAAAGGTAACGGTGAGGAAAATCGAATGAAATAGACAGCTGAATAAAAAGACCGATTTCTGAACGATTTTGTTTTCATCAACATATGCCGTGTTAAACTTGACCATCCAGATAGATGGAGAACAGGATAGGTGGCTAATTTCGGAAACAGTTATCACAGATTGATGCACTATTAAAACTATGTCATATTTTGGCATTGGATTATAGGAGGTGAAATGGTGCACCCATACCGAATTGCAGATAGTTAAAGATGACAGCTAAGATGTACATTGATTTTTTTTTTGAAGGAACACATCGACTGTAGTTGAAGAAGAAGAAGAAGAAGCCCACTTTCAGAAAGATCAGTTTTTATGGATGGTAATGCTATGTTAAATTTAGCGGAGAAAAATAAGGTATTTCTACAAATGCGTTTCACCAATACTCTCTTGTTGAAGTGAACTGCTTTTTCGCCCGACCTTAACCTGCCTGAAACCCTGTGAAGCATTCTGAAGAGGGAATTCTACATTACCGGGTTGCAATTTACCAGAATATTCTGAATGCTATTCTGGATGCTGTGCAGTCTGTATCGCATTAAGAAATACAACAGCTCACAAAATCAATGGATAAATGACTTCTAAAGCAAGTTTAAGAACACTAGCCGAAAACTAGCAGTATAAACCTTTTTATTTAATATAATAAAAAAAAATTAACAAAAAATTTTATTTAATTATTTGAATAATTTTCTAATATTTGTATTAATAATAACACATCAATATAAGGTCGTAACTAACGTTGCTGTATCTAAAATTATAAAACTCTCTAAAAAATTAATATTTTAAAAAGCTATTTATATCCGCTTATTCAGAATATAATTAAATAAAAAAAAGACGATTTTTATAAGCCAGTATTACATGTATGGTATTTTGCAATTTACAAAATACCATATATGTAATATTTTGCATTGAATTAGATACGTTATATGTTTTATTTCACCATCTTGGTTTCTTCTATATAGCCAAGGGAGACAACTCATGATCACTAAAGAGTTTTTATTGCACCCCTCTTATCAAATAAAAACAAAAAAATACAAAAAATACAATTCACCTTACGTGAATTTGTAAAAGAAAGAATGTGGATTTTTATATTATTCCTTTTTTATACCTTTATCTTCATTAAATTGTTTTCAATCATTTTGTTCAAAACATTTGTCTGTAAATTTTTCACACCTTATGTAGTTATAATTTTAAATTACAAAATTATGTTTTTCGGGGTAACCTGGTTAAGAATGAAAAACCAAGAAAATCGAATAAAATTCAGAAAACTTACATGTTAAGTGTGAGTTGCTGTCTATTCTGTTATGAGGAATATATGCACAGACAAATACTTTTGTGATCCCTTCATAAGTTTTTTTTTAAATTAGAGAAAATGATAAGTGGCTAAAAAGACATAGAAAAAGAAAAGAAATTCGTTAGAAACGTGATACAATATCCTAGGTGCGTTACTATGGCGACATAATAATTGTCAGATCAGTTAATGGGTTGGACTACAATAAAGGACGAGACGTAATTTTTCTAAACATCGTCAATGAAGCGAGAATACTCGACCCCTGTAGATTAAATAAAGAGTTCATTTCGAAATTCCCTTTAGGTTACAGAGATCTAAATACACCTAGTGAAAAGCAAGAGGGCACGTTTTGATAATAACAACAAAGATTAGGATAGTAGTCCGCATGTAAATATTGTAAACAATGTAAACAATTAAGAAAAGAGTGCTGAATTGTTAAGAAATATTTATACTCCTATGATAAGGAATACTGGACAATCTTATCACAGATTAGGAATAGACTTGAGGCAACAGAAATGTGATTCTACAGAAGAATGTACCATAGGCTGGGCCGTTGAGCAACGACAAAGTTTTATGCAAAACAGAAACAAAAAATACACCTACTTTGTTGGGAAAGCAGTGAATAATTTACTTAGCAAGCTTATGTATATAGTAGCGTATAACAAGGATTAGAAGTAATAACCAAAAAAAAAAAATCTAGGTAATTTAAAGCTAGAACATGTATTATTTTAGACAGTAAAAGATTTTTTTTTTAGATAATAATGACCGATACAAGTTCTACTAATTAACTCATAGCTGGAGGAAGAAGAGGTGGATCCGCACATTTCCCTTAAGGTTTTTTGGGATGATTTGGTTTTTGTTTTACGGCATATCAACCTCAATGGGTTTTTTAATGCCGACAAAATTTTTATTGCTGGTAATATGTTTTTCTTCAAAAATCTATTTCTGGGAATATTTTTCCTTGAAGAAATCTATAGCTGGTCATATTTTTCAAAGAATATATAACTGTTTTTATTGCTGGTATTTTTTTAAAAAGTATTGCTGATAATAATTTTTCCTTCAAAAAATTATTGCACGTAATAATTTTTTTTATTACAAAGTATTTCTGCTATTAAAACCTATTTTTTTACACAAGTTTAGGTGTTGACTATTTGCCCATAGCTGGGACCCTAACAGGTGCTACCACCCCGGGTTAGGGTGGAGCTGGGTACAGCAGAAATTAAGATGTGGTTCCACGCTCCTCAAAACCTCCTGATTAGAGGCCTTGCTGTTGGACGTAGTTTATCGTCTTACTCAGGACGCGGATGTAGTTTATCGTCATACTCAGGACGATTTTCCCCCAAAGGGTATTCGCGCGTAAGTGAATATAACGAACCTGACTGGAACTGGAACTCGGCTCGCCGATTTCTAATTCCGAGCCGTTATCCATTACACCATCAGCACGTACAAGCTTATAGTACCTGATATACCCCAAGCGGTCAACTATCTCGGTACTTACCTGGCTCGATATTGCTTAACGTCGGTGATCGTACAAGAACCAGTGTTTTAGTGTGATATGGCCGTAAGCCGGAACTTGAACGAATAAAGCAAATAGTTACATTACAGATAATTGGTACGACAAATGAGGAAGCGCCGCTGTGAAAATGTCAAGAACCTTGGCAAGGATGTTTATTAATCACTGTCTTATTGTCTTCAGATATAAAACATTATAAGCTGCTGTAGACTTTGAGTGGGCATCCGTTTATCAACGGAGAATAGAAGAACGTTCAGACTTCAAAGGAAGGTAACTTTCATAAAAATCAAAAATAGATTGAGTGAAGAGAGAAAAATAGAGAAACAATCGGAGAGATAAAAGTGGTTCAACAGATACTAAGAAAGTTAGGTGTTTCCGAGAGAAAATCTTAAGAGATGCTGAGATAAGAAAGGGTGCAGTAGAAAGCGGTAAACCACAAAACATTGATAAATAAAATGAAGGAAGTAATCTAGAAAGGGAAGATAGTTGGGCAGATTTTAAGATAATTTTTGTAATTCTTTTCCATTTTTTTAAATAAAACATTCAACTTACGCCTCATTATAACGTAATATTGGTCAATGCATATCATGTGCCGTTTTATCATTCGTTGTTTTCTTCCTTAATATAATTTCTAATGAAGGTTTCAGATAGTATAAACATGTTTTATGTAATTCTGAAGCTACGTGACATAATTTCATTAAGCATACAAATCTAGTGACTCGTATAAAAACCAGATAGATACGGTATATTTTTCGTGCATCGCAGTGTAATTATATAGCAGGAGGACTATTTTCTTTTATCATATATAATACGCCAACTCTGAACAGCAAGAAACATTATGCTATATCATTATAATGTATCACAAGTGAAGTAGAGACTTGAAGCAACAGAAATGTGTTTCTACAGAAGGATGCTGAGAATACCATGGACTGGTCATGTGAGCAACGACGAAGCTTAAGAAAAAATGGAAACAAAAAGGATACTTATACTTAACATTAGAATGCCGCACATGTTGTGCCATCGGCATGCCTTAAGGTTGGCTTTCATACGCTGCGCGTTGATAGAGGACTCGGTTTTGTGTGTAAAGACGCCTTCCCTTACCTTACTATCACTCTTCCCGTTTCGGGGGATGAGCTTCATCGTAAGGCTCGGAATCAAAACGATTTTCCTCAAGAAATGTCGGGCGGTTTTGAAGGTCATTCCTCGATCCAGTGAATTTTCACGGTCCTGTAGACTATTGTACCATGAATTAGTGAGGGGTCGCAAAGGATCCTCTATGTTGTCGGCTTGGCTTGTCGTCATAATAGTTGCGCATTTTCTTGTCTTGGGCGCCAACGGTGGATTATCTCAGCAACCCTGAATTTTCGTTTACGTGACGATTGATTCGGAACGGTCTATCTCTCAATGACGTAGCCTTCAGAGGAGGCTGGGTGGATTTGACCAAATGTCATCGGTTTAGAGGAAACGGCTTCACATGCCTTCTACTTTAAGCGTGCCCGTTCTGGGACTATGTCGGCGAGCTGACAACTGGTATCGATCACAAGCAGTTCGTGTACATTGATTTCGCATACGTGTGCGATAATATGTCGCCTCTGTTCTCTGGGGTGTGGCGTGTGGTTTTTTACGTTGCTAGCCGTGGCAGGGTGGTGATGTGAACGTCGCGGATGGAGGGAATCTTGTCATACGAACGTTATTCGTATCAGGATCTGGGCGGATTCTTTGGGCATCAGCTCAGGATGAAGATCAGAACTGATAGGAAGCGTTTGTTGTCGAGAGATTTCAGCGAAAGGTGGGTAACTGGGCGAGTCTGGTTCGTGTGAACGAGGATAGCCTTGATATTTGATTAAGTCAGAAACTATTTTGTTGACTGAGTAAGTGTTGTTCTTGGTTTGTTCCCGGGCTTCTCTTTTGTGATAATCTTTGTCAAGATTTCCAGCTTCCCCAGTTCGTTTTTGTTCCCTTTTTTATCTTGACTGGGATAGTCTTTGATTTCCCACTCGACCAATTATTTTTCTTTCCCACTCCATTAGTGAGTGTGCGTCTTGACTCTGTCGAATGGCAGAATACAGCAGTCACTCTTATTTTTGAGGGGTGGAAGGGTCCTATAGTTATGTTTTGATTTCATTTTGTTATATTTTTAGTTTGTTTTTGGTTCATCCCCTCCCACTTCATTTCATGATTCATGGAAGTTTTATATATTTTGTAAAAAGAAATTTATGAAGTGTGAGATTTTACATCATGATGTTTTTATAGGTTCCCAGTGAATATTTGGTATTGTGGTACATGTAAGATTGAATGATGATGGATAAATTATTGTAGTGAATGACTAAATTGTCAGGAAACACAAGGTCGCGATCCTGATTAACTAGCTCTAAGGATAGTTAGTAATGACCAACCTTATCTCACATCTTCTTCGGCCATGTGACACAATTATGTATGTTTTCATGCATAATAAACATATATTTAAATAAGGATCTTCAAATATAATGAAATATTTTACCCATAATTTTATGAATTTAAATTTGTATGAACTGAAAGGGAAAGGAAAGTTTGTACCCTATTTTAGAATCGTATATAAAGGTTGAAAAATATATTCAACTTACTAAAGTTCTTCATAAAATTCAATATGATGCCGAGATCATAAAACAAGACTGAAAATGAAAAAAAGAAAACTCAAATGCTGGCTGTCTACGAATGAGATGGAGATTGGAGGTCAAAACCTCGACAAATTAGAGTCCCTCGGATAACTGCTTACAGGTGGCTATGTCAAGGCGAAAAGGAAGTCTCAAGAAGTGACAAACGCTCAGAAAAGTGTCAAATCAGCACGAAGATCTTAAGCGGAATAAAATTGAAGAAAAATCCAGAGTAACGCTTAATGAGCTAGTTGACGCCATTTACAATAAATTCAATTTAAATTGGTCCAAGCAGATTTTACATCGCCACCTGGATATGCTTTTATACACTCTGAAAAGCATCAGATTGTTGGAATTTTTGGGTAGTACTAGTGAGCCAGCCAAAATGAGCTGACTCATTTTATAGTTCACCCATAGAAGGGTTAACCAATCAAAAGGCTCAAAATATTCAATGCGACGTGTATAAAGGCGGCCATGTTTTTTCCCGAATATTCATTGGCAGCCTTTGATATCGAAGACTGAAGAATTACAGAACAGCTGCTGCTGGGATTGGCGATATAGTCAGATTCAGTAGAGTGTCTGACTCGTGAGTATTAATCTTTAACGTTGTTTCATTGAACAGATTACGTACTGCGATGTATTCTATATTCATAGACTATGGTGAACATGGTTAACACAGATTTGAACCAGAAACAGCAAATACGTTAGAGAATAAAAAAGAGAAAAAAGTTTTGTGGCAGAACTCCTTGCATTTCAAGGTCAGAATTTGTCAATCATCTTCCTGGACAAATTTCAATATTTATATTTCAAGGACTGAAGAGCAATCTCGAAAAGGTTACAATTGCAGCAGCATCAAAAGGTGCCAACATTTTTTTTTCTAAGCGTTTCACCCCAAGCAAGACGGAAAACCACTAGGACGCAAGGGGTTACAGAAAATTTGGAGCAAGGTCAGATAGGAGTGATAGAAGAAAGGATGAGGAGAAGAGTAGTGGATAGATCAAAGCAACTGGAGATAGAGAGGCCAGTGAGAGAGAGAGAGAGAGAGAGAGAGAGAGAGAGAGAGAGAGAGAGAGTACCGGACACCCCTTCCTAAACAAGAAACAAGGCGTAAGCCTCTAATGTCCAAGAAAAGGGGGAGGAGACATACTTTTAATAGGATATATCAACACCTTGGCGGGGAGTCATGCGTGGATCGTACACATGTAACTTGGCGTGTGATTTCGTTAAAAAGCACTCTTGTAACCAAGGAAAAGTACGGTCGATCTGTCGTTCTTGTCATTGACAATGCACCTTGCCATTCAAAAATCGAATTAGTCTTAGATGAGGAGGGATTTTCCGATGATCAAATTTTGAAGCTAGACCTTACAGTCCCATGTTCAATCCTATTGAAAATGTTTGGTCAATTTTAAAAGCTGAAGTAAAGAAGAAATTGATTGAAAATACCCAAGGAATTCTAATGAGAGAAGGGTTAACCTTGAGCATCAAAGAGTATAGGCATCAGACCCTAAATATATATATTAGGTTGGTGCAAAAATAATGACGTAATACTATCGTTTTTTGACGTTAAAAAATAAGTCAAAAAACGACATTATTACGTCATTATTTTTGCACCAACTTAATATAAATACTGCCCTTGGGAGATATGACATTTTAATTAACACGCTTTATTTATAATGAGGATTCAATCATTTTCTTGTGTAGAATTATTTTTTTATATTTTCTATTCGTTTGGTTCAAACGTTACTATTTTCAAATTTAAAGTTTGTGTTCCATTTTGAAAGTTACTATTCTCACATTGAAAGTGAAAAGGTATAGATTTCCTGCAAGGTCTCATCATTTTACAGTTGAACAGGCTAGATGTAACCGTACGTCCTTTGCTAACAGTTTCTTCTATCACCCCAAAAGTGAAGGCACGCTGGAGTAAATGTTAGCGCCTCGGATTGAGGAGAGCCGAAATCGAATTCTAGTCGAGTACAAATAACATTCATTTACGTACCCTTGGAAAAAGTATGAACTCATCTCTTCACCCCACGCGCCTGTTATGGGTAGGAGAAGGAAAATTTGAATTCAAACGGCCTACTGGCTTGTAGGCTAAAAGAATGTAAATTCAAAAACAAACCCACATTACAGAAAGGTGAGACGGGGAAAACTCAACGTCCCCGGTGGAAAAAGAAATAGCAAGCCATTATTCTGACTTCAATGTCAATATGGGAGACAATTGAGAAGTGGGGGTGCAAAATGCGCTAACTGAATAAAATGAATAATTCCAACCTAAGCAAGGGGAGGATGCCATAAAACGCAGGTTATTTGGGATTGAAAGAGAATGAGAAGGCTTTAATAAGGCGAAAGCATCGTAGCTTAGTAGGTGTTAATTAAACCAAAGAAGGTATGACATTTCCCAATTAATATATCCAGAGGA